GGGCTGGGGACAGCGAGATGGGGGGCGCCTGGGGGTGGTGTGGGGAGCTGCTATTCCCATGGGAGCCTTATGGGGCTGGGTGGGTCTGGTTGCCCCCTCCCCTCCTCCAAGCTGGTGGGGGGGGGTGGGCAGTGGTTTGGGACTGATGTTCCCCCCCTTCTCTGCCTGGATTTATTTATTTATTTTGTTGTCTTGGGGTGGGAGGAGGCAGCTGGGGCAGGGGGGTCCTGGTCTGTCCCAGGGCTGGGCAGCGTGCAGCCCCCTGGGACAGCAGTGATGTCCCCAGTGGGGGTGAGCCTGTCTCTACCAAAGCTCGCCCCCCACCCCGGCTTTGGGGGGCTGCCCAGGGAGGGTGCTGGGACAGTTTTAATCGGTTGGTTGGTTCCCCTCGGTTTAACTGTAAAAAAAAAAGAAGGAAAAAAAAAAAAAAGAGAAAGAAGAAAAAAATTGGAAAATAATTAAAAATGCCAGTTTGGACCCAAAGTGTGTAGGTGGGGGGCAGGGGGCAGAGCCCAGAGGGGAGGAGGTGGGCTGTGGGCAGGGCTGGATCCAGGCACCCGACGTGGGGACAGCAGGGACATGAAGCGAGAGGCTGGAGTGCTGCAGTCATGGCGTGCAGTGAGCGCGTGGGGTCTTAGGCGTGCAGCGAGTGCATCAGGTCTCAAGGCCACACCTGCATCCATCAGTGTCCCCCTGCCCTGTGGTGGGAGAACAGTGGCGGGTGTCTGTCCCCCAGCCTGTCCCTGTGTTGTCCCCTTGGGGTGAGCTCACCATGTCCGTTGTCAGCCGGCTGCTCTTTGCACGGTGCCTGATGCCAGGGTGATGGGCGCCCACCACTGGGGTGCCCGGGGCTGGGGAAGGGGGTGGCGGGGACGCATTTCCTGCCTCTCATGGGGAAGACAGTGAGCAGGAGGTCCCCGGGGAGGTGACGGGACAAGCCCGGGCTGGGTGCGAGCCAGCCCCGGGCGTGGGGAGGCGACGGGGCGGAGGATGCACACCCAAGGCGCCCGCACCCACACGCCTCTGACGCTCCAGCACCCGCACCCGCCCCGGCCTGGCGGGGGGTAGGGGGTCCTGGGGAGTCCTCCCCCCTGCCACCATGAAGCGGATGTTCTCCTGCTCCAGCTCACAGGTGGCGGTGAGTCCTGGCCCCCCCCCCCATGCCGGGGGGGGACCCCAGCCTGTCCTAGGGTTGGGGACCCCCTTCCTACCCCCGTGGATGGGGATAACACCCAGCCTTGGTGCCCTGCAAGCACCCATGAGTGCTGCCATGGTGCCCGGGTGGGTCTGGGTGGGGGCTGCAGCCACATTTGGGGTGAAGGGATGCTGCGACCCCCCTGCTGCCAGCCGGCCCCGTGTGCCCGGTCCCAAACCCCATCCAGCCATGGTGCTCAGTGCTGGTCCTGCTCCAATGCCAGCTGCAATCCCGACCCCAATCCCAACCCCGATGCCAGCTGCAAACCTGACCCCAATCCCAACCCGTCTCGGCTCCGATGCCGTCCCAGATGCCGTCTGCAATCCTGACCATGATGCCGGCTGCAGTCCTGACCCCAGTCCCAACCCCGATGCCGGCTGCAATCCCAACCCCAATCCCAACCCCAGTCCCGGCTCCGATGGCGGCTGCAATCCTGGCCCTGATGCCCCGATGCTCAGCTGCAATCCTGGCCCCAGTGCTTACCCCCAGACCTGGCCCCGCTGCGGGTCCCGACACCCAGCCCGGGCCCTGGTCCTGGTCCTGGTCCCAGTGCTTGGTCCCAGTGCTTGGTCCCGGTGCCCACCCACGCCCCGCACCATGGTGGAGCCCGGCACGGCGGCAGCCCGACAAACCAGCCGGGCAGGCACAGGCAGGTACACGCTCGCCTGCCTTGCCTCACCTTCCCCGGCTAGTGACCAGGGCCGGGCGCTGTGAGGATTTGGGGTCCCCAGCACCCCATCCCTGATGGAGCACTCCAACAAGTAGGGAAACTGAGGCACGGCTCCGCACCGTTGCAGGGGGAGGCACTTGGTACGGGGGCACGTCCCAAAAGAGGGGTCAGCCCCACAGCACAGCCTCTGCCATGGCCCTTCTGCCTGGAGAACCTGTGCCTCAGTTTCCCCTTGCCGCTCGGTGGGGCAGGGTGGGGGGTCCCATCCCTGCAGCCTCCCCCCGGAGCTGCTT